ATGGTCGTGCCATATCAATCGTTTTATAACAAAATAAAAGAGATCGGTATAGTTACTATGATAGTGTTCTTCCATTTTATGCGAAAAAATTGAAAAGTATCGGTGTAAGAAATCGGTACCCGTCCTTTTGTTTTTCTTTCTCACTTACTGCCACCCGGTTACTAACTGTATCAATATCCTGCGCTTCCACTGCTGTGGCGTACTCTGCTTCTGAACTAGAGTTATTGTATTCTTGTATTGAGAAGTCATGTTGTTCCTTGAATGAAAAAGGAAACAAAGAAAGTAGATGTAAGGGTTAATACAACAGAACCTGCAGGATCATGTGATTCAAGCAGAAAAATGTGCATTATTGAGCTATTGTACTCTGACCAGACAATAATTTTCAGAAATAGACAAGAGCCACGGTGGCAATTGATTGGTGCATTTGAGTTGATAGATTATCTCTTCTATACCTCAGTGTAAACTGATGGCTTTAATATGCTAAATTCCGAGAATAATTTTCGCATAAGAGGATGTGGTTAGTGGTCAAAAGAACGTTGATATTTTTTTACTGTTCTTAAACTCCGTGTTTAGTGTACTGAAGCAACAGAACTTTTGAGACACTTCATAGTTTACATGAGCAGACAATATCAAGCAACTGATTTTACCCAATGGACTGGTCGGCTGTTATAACCAGGCATTCATCGTTATTTAGTGGTTGTAATTCTGCGCTTTTTTTACTAAAAGTTTTTCATACGACAGAATGATCTTTTAAAATTTTTTTGATGACTTAGTTTTATAGAGCCAACATATCTCTCCGAAATAATATATGGCAACACTTTCCATCTTGAATCGGTACTCAGATAAAAAACGTTTGCTAAATGGCTCACGATTGGTGCTAATACCGGTATCGGTTAATACTGGTTTGGGGTATTTACTGTAGTATTAATTACCAGCTAATGATCTCAAGAAATATTTCAGAAAACCTAATCACTTGCTTACGAACAGGAGACTACTTGTTTAATCCCTTGAGTACGGCAGTCTATCGCCCATATTTGGGTAATAGTATCGATACCCCCGTAACTCATTTTAGTAAAAAGAAAACGTTTTCATCATTCTTAGATCAGGAGCTATTGATATTTTACGGAAAAGAAATAAATCGATTATGTCTCACGAATCCATCCAGTAAAAGAGGCCCAACACTGGTGGATGATCAGCATTCGATAAGAGCTATGATCACACAAAATTGGAAGTCCCTAACTATTATAGTTTTTGAGTTACAGGGGTGTCGCTACTTTTGACCATATGTGGCCTTCCTGTCCCCAAGACCCCAAGGAGTTAAATATCATTCCTGAAAACTCCTAATATTACAGTGGATGTCATAAAAATAGATAAATTGTCAAAAATGACTCAGAATATTCATTATTTTCTAAACTGACATGTGCAATGGAAGAACAAACAGAGAAGCAGAGTATGGATTGTTAGTTTACTGCACGATTGTATCTGATGGATCCTGCTGTTATAACGTATCGTTGCTATATCATTGTTCGCTCAAACTTTAGCGAACCCGTCTCCGTGCAGTATTAGAGAATATATGCATAGTTTTATCTTGTCTGTTGATTATTCGAGATTGTAAGATATAGCCATCGTTGTTTTTCTGAAGCTTGCTACTACAGTGCTCTAATAAGATTAACAACGTTGATTTATCTCTTTAGTGTTAGCTTTTCTGAAGATATTCCAGTGATGTTAGTCTTTAGTGGTATTTTTTTAAAGTTTATGTTCAGTCGCCATTGGATTAGTGTTTAGCATGAATGCCTGCCTTCTTATTCAATTTCAGCGGTTTGTTCTGAGTTCACATCAATCTCTTTTCCAGTGCGTTTTTTCAACAAAAAAAAGGACCTAAATGTTTTTCTTCCTATGTGGTTAGATCTCGATTCCAACGAACGTTTGTTAGCAAGACTTGTGTACTGTTAGATATCCTTAATATGAATCACAGTACTCTTAGAATATTCCTTGCGTACACCGGGCGTTGTTATATAAGCTGTAATTATGAGTTTTGAACCCAAACCAACAACGTCCTTACTTCCACCACATGTTGCATGCTCGTGTCTAAATAATAATTATTATTAAAATCTAAAACATAATTGCATGTTCTATACTAAAGAAGAGGGCAAATTCGAGTTATTCGGCAAAGGATCAACTCAGTGAGCAACGGTTACTGAAACGCAGCTATTTTACGATCAAGGAACACTTTCGAAATATGAGGTGCGTTCTGAAAAAAATTGGAATTCCGAAACACGAGTTAAGCAATTCCCGAGTTCGGGATATTCCTGTCCTGATGTATGCCGATGTGTAAATAGAACGAGTGGACAACATGTGCACAGAAAAGGAAAAATAGCGTGTTTCATACATTTCATACTAGAACTCTAGCGTGTTTGTCTTTATCTTTATCTCGCATATACGACATTAAGATATATTTGGAAAAGAACAGACATAAGAAGAAAGAAACAAAACATGTGTATGAGCTAATCGTAACTTTTTTGTACAATTGTAAGTTTACGATATTTTTTCAATAACTTCTGTCATTGCCCACCGGTTTCGAAAATTTTTTTTTTATTTTACTCGCTGATGACGGTTCCACTACCA